TCAGTCTTAATCAAAGCTTCTATATAATCTCTCATACTGTTTACTAAATTTTTTATATATTCTTTAGACAAACAATTCATAGTTCACAGAATCAAACAATCCATAGTTTGAAAAACCAGATACTCTATAGTTTAAAGAATTAGATGACTCATAGTTCAAAGAATCAGATGACTCATGGTTCAAAAAATCAGACAATCTATAGTTTAACGAAGCAGACAACCCATAGTTCAAAAACCAAACAATCCAAAGTTTGAAGAACCAGGCAACTCATAGTTTACAAGACTAGACAATTCACAATTTGTAGAACTAGACAGCCCAAAACTATTAATACCTGAAATAGTTCCAAATTCAGAATTAATAATATCAGAAAAAAGACTTTCTACTTTATAATTCATAGGACCAAGAAAGTTCTTCCTAAATTCGGTAGACATTACTTGTTTTTCTTTTCTACTCTATAACTACATTGAAGATATAATGAGAGAAAAATTCTACTTAGTACTTTTCTACAAAAGAATTACTTAAAGCCAATTATAAAATAGTGCTTTGAGATTTTTTTTTTTGAAATTCACAACACTTAATAATTAACTTATAATATATGATAAAAGTACGTAAGGCAAAAGAGACAGTGGCCACTTCAGATTAGAGTAGTTTTTACTATTATTGTATTATGTGATACAAATCACCAGGTTTTACATAATACTGATAACAATCACCAGTAATAATAAATAGTAAATTTCTTTTTAAATAATCAATCAAATTTAAAAAATTAATTTTTTAAAATTAAAGAAAAATTTATTAAGTTAAAGTCTGTTGGAATTTGCAAATTTAAAGAAGTTTTTATTAAGTTAGGATCTCTTGAGCTTCTAAATAAAGTTGTAAAAGTGATTTTTCTAGTTCTAATAGTAGTTAGATCATCAAAATCAGCCTGTAGATCCCAAGATATTTGGGGTTAAAGACATGAACATAGAGATCTGCAAATTGTAGTTATACAAAATCTTATAGTTTTTGGTACTTTGTATAACCACCAATTTGCAGATCTTTATATTTGTGTTTTTAACTCCAAATATCTTGGAATTTACAAGGCCAATTTTGATGATCTAACCACTATTAGAACCAGACTTAATAAAAACTTCTTTAAATATTAAAAAATTAATTTTTTAAATTTGATTGATTATTTAAAAATAAAATTTTTTATATTTTTTGTATAAACCATGATAGAAATAGCAATTTATTATAGTAGAAATAGCAATTCTCTATTTTTATTTACAAATTTTAATATTTTTATTTGAGATATTTTTAGATAAAAAATATGTAGCTCTTAGTACTTGATTTGATAAATACTATTATGTTTGTAGAGGTTTTGGCTTACTTCTAAACCTATATAAAATTTTACTTGTGAAAACTAATGAAGAAATGAAATTGTTTGTCTAAAGAATATATAAAAAATTTAGTAAACAGTATGAGAGATTATATAGAAGCTTTGATTAAGACTGA